ATTGCTGTGACCTCTCCTGTCTGTGATCGACATAAATGATTTGGAGGAAAATGTAGCTGGTCTAATTAGTAAGTTTGTGGGTGATACAAAGATTGGTGGAGTTGCAGATTGTGAGGAGGACTGTCAGAGGATATGGCAGAATATAGAGTTGGAGGCATGGGCAGAAAAATGGCAGGTGGAGTTTAATCCGGACAAATGTAAGGTGATGCATTTTCGAAGGTCAAGTACAGGCGGAAATTATACAGTGAATGGCAGAACCCTTAGCATTATTGATTTGCAGAGGGATCTGGGTTTGCAGGTCGACAGATCACTGAAGGTGGCAGCGCAAGTAGATAAGGTAGTTAAAAAGGCTTACAGCATGCTTGCCTTCATTGGAAGGGGCACTGAGTATAAGGATAGACAAGTTATGCTGCAGCTTTACAGAACTTTATGGGGCCACACTTGGAATATTGCTTACAGTTCTGGTACCACACCACCAGGAAGATGTGGATGTTTTGGAGATGGTACAGAAAAGGTCTAACAAGATGTTGCCTGGTATCGAGGATTTTAGCTATGAAGAAAGGTTGGCTGGACTGGGTTTGTTTTCACTGGAATGTGGGAGGTTGAGTGGCGACCTAATAGAAGTTTATAAGAATGTGAATGGCATGGAGAAAGTGGAAAGTATGAGGCTTTTTCCCAGGGTGGAGGGGTCAATTACTAGGAGATACAGATTCAATGTGTGAAGGGGGAAGATTAAAAGAGATGTGTGAGGCAAGTTTTTCACACAATGGGTGTTGTCAGAAGAGGTAGTAGAAGCAGACACAATAGCAGCATTCAAGAAGCACCTGAACGAATACATGAATCAGAACGGAATAGAGGGATACGGATCCTGTGAGTGAAGACAGTTTTAGTATGGAAGGGCAAAATGTGGCAGTGCAGGCTTGGAGGGCCGAAGAGCCTGTTCCTGTGCTGTATTACTTTTTGTTCTTGTTCTTATTCTCTCATTCTTCGAACCTTTGGAAAATACAGGCCCAGTTTGTCAAATCTTTCTTCAGAGTACAGTCCTGCCATCCTGGGAACAAGTTTGGTAATCCTTTATTGTACTCTGTCTATAGCAATAATGTCAGGCTAGGAGATTGGTCAGCAAAAAAGCAGTAAGATTTAAGGAGATTTTTCAGAATAAATATATTCCTACTGGCAGGAAATATTCTGAGGGGACGACCCAGCATGTGTGGTCAGTTAAAGAAAGCATCATACATATAGATTGGAGTATAGAAGCTCTTTCATGGTCCTGACAAGGTGAGTGTAAAATGATGGGCTGAATCTTACCAGAAATTGGCTAAGTGACAATTCCATTGAATTTCACGGTATCCCTCTGTAAGCCTTAGTGAGTTTTCTCATGCTCGCTTCCCAAATTCATCTCATTACCTAAATACCATATTCCCTATGATGCTCCACTAGTTATATTCTCCCACTCACTTCAGGCAGAAGTACTGGCCACTGCCAGAACCTTCAGAAATTCCTGGTGCTGACACCATTTTTAAAATCCAGCCATGCATCCAGTCATGTTCTGGCAGTCTGCATTGCCCTGCACAGTTTGTTTTAGTTGTCACAGACATGCAGTGCAGAGAGTTCTTGGCAACCTGCTTTGCTGACAGGGACTCAGAAGTTCTGCTAGAGGGGCACCACATGTGGTCACTGCCTATGGAGCATTTCTCGTTGGCGACTATTGGAGGTTGGAGGAGCAAGTGGTGACTATAGTCACCAGGTCACTGTTCTGACTTTTACGTTTGGAACTATAGCCATCTAGTTTATATCCAACAAGTGGGAGAATGGCAACAATGAGGGGAGATGATATTATGATGAAAATGTTAATACATGCAAATAGGCCTCTCATGCTCACTGGTGAGAATCCCATGTCGCTGCTCAACATTTGGTTGGAAAATAGGACATCTTGCTCTCAATGGAAGGAAGCTCCTCATTGCCGATCTGATGCAATTCTGACAACTTTATCACCCATGCCTGCATCGTTCAGTGTCTGGGAATATTCTGACCAACATTTCCTCTTGTAGGTGAGTCTAACATTTGCTAATACTTTGGTATCGCTTGCAACTTCGCATGCACACAATTCCAGAAACACTGTGTCATCACACAGAATTCTGATGATGTCACACATAAAGGAACTGCACATGCGCAGAAAAATAATGCACTATTGAAATGGAGTTCAGCAGGGGAAGTGAGGGAGAGAGAGTGGCAGTGAGAGTGGTGGGTGAATGAGGAAAATGGGCGAGGAAAGTGAGGACAGTAGTGGTGAGTGAGGATAATGGTTGTATGTAAAGATGGTAGAGGGAATGAGGATGGTGGGAGGGAAGAGTGAGGACAGTGGGAGGTGAGTGAGGATGGAGGGAGGGGGTGTGAAGATGATGAGGGAGGGAGCTGGTCAGAAGGGGTTAGAGAAGAGGGGTGGGGAGTAAGAGGGAGGAGGACTGGGGCAGGAGGGAAGTGGGGAGGCCCCCTCCTCTTCTCACTTTCCTCTCTCCCAGTCCTCCCCCTTCACAATCCCCCTCTTACCACCCCTGTCCCTCACCCCGCTCACAGCCAGGATCTACTCTGTTGACAGCCATACCAAGTTTAAAACCAAAGCAGCTTCAATGCACATGCAAATATTTAAGCTGTGAGTAGTGCACTTGGCTGTGGTGTCAATATACTGACTGCATTGTAATTTTCTCCCCTTTGAGGCATACGGTTACAGGTCCAGACTTTTGCCATTGAGGCAGGCAGCTCGATTTGGGACATTTACTGACAGGACAAATGTGCCTTGGTTTAAAGGGTCTTGTTATGAGCAATCATGACTCCAGCATGGTGATTTGGGAGACAGTCAGATTGACGGTCCCTGAAAGTAGATGTTAGACAGTAACAAGGTGGGTGAGTGCTAAGGTGGGCCAGTTAGAAAGCTTGCCTTTGATCTTTCAGACTTCATCCTGGTTATATTAAAAGCATTTTGTTCCTATTGCCATCACCCCCTCACACACTCTCTCTACCCCTATCCATCTCAATGCCTTAAGGGCTCCATGCCCATTTACTCAGGAAGCACACAACCAATCTGCCATACAGGCAATATAATAACAATGGCAATCATTGAAATTATGATAAAAGTAACACCCATTCGGAATTCTACTTGGAATAAAAACTGCTCTATAGCCCTTCAAAAGGTTCATTCAGAGAGGTCCATTAGAATCACTAAAAGTAGTTTTACCCACTTGACACCTCTTTATCTGATCTAGACAAACATACAGATATTGACAAAACTGATTGCAGAAAGAATATTTTTTATAAAAGATAGTTAAGGAAAGTAAACACTCCACTTTAGTTCGTACAAACATAACCCCTAGCTAATCTATTTGTCATTCTTGGAGCTTAGCCAAACATGCATAACAGAGAAAGACAGAACACCACATGTCTGGTCATCTGTTTGTACTGATACAGTTCCTATCTGGGTTCATTTCGTTGCCTATCCATAACTGTCCTTGTGAAGATAGTGCTGAGCTTCCTTCAGAGTGCTGTTAGAAGTTCCATGATACTTTAACCAATTGCTTTGTCTTGATGGTGCAAAGTTTATGGAGTGATGCTGGAGCTGCACTCATCCAGGTCAATAAAGAATATTCCATCATGCTCTTGATATGCATGTAGATGGTGGACAGACGTTCTGAGGAGACAAAATGTTTGCTGCAGAATTCCTAGCCTCTGACCTGCAATTGCAGACAAATTATTTATGGGAACAGTAACAAAGGCTTTCTACAAATGTATACAGCTTTGGTAAGAAAAGAACAGGTACATTGTGCACAGGTTTGTTCTCCATATCTTAAAAACGGCAATTTGTCATGGAGGTAATGCAAGGAAAATTCAGTAGTTTAGCTCCTGTGTTCAAAGGGTTGTTTTGTGATGAGGCTGAGTAAATTGGACTTCTACACACTGGAATTTAGAGGAAAGAAAGGTGATTTCATTGAAACATGCAAGATTCCAAAGGGTCCATAGATGCCAAGAGGTTTCTTCGAATGTGGGAATCTAGAATATGGAGGCATGGTCTCAAGATAAGACAGCAATCATTTTGACTGAGATGAAGTGAGATTTGTTCACTCAGACAATTATGAATCTTTTAGAATTCTCTACCCTAGAGCTTTGTGGTGCTCCATCATTGAGTACATTCAAGGCTAACATAAATAGATTTTTGGATACTAAGGGACTCAAGGGATCTGGGGATAATGTGGGAAAGTACAGCTGAGGTTGATCAGCCATGATCATATTAAAGATGGAGCAAGTTTAAGGGGCCATGTGGTCTAATCCTGCTCCTGTTTCTTATGTTCTTGTATCGGGAATTCTGTGAGGCCATAGTTGCCAAACAAATAAATCTAAATCTATTGTTCTTTTGTAATTAATAAAATAGTTTCCTTTGATCATTAGATATTAAGACCTGAGCAAGATTTCTCACTTCTGTACTTGCCCACCAGCAAGCTTTTACTTATTCACTTAAACCCATGCACCAAACTGGTGAAGCTGAAAATCTTACCCATAATCAACATTGTGAAGTCTTCCTAGGACTCTTATTTCTTCTGAAGATTAAAGAAGAATGTATTTATTATGTTTCTAGAAACAACCGATTTAGAAAATCTTGCTGGCATTTAAGATGTCAGTAAAGACTGGAGGAAACTGTTTCATTTCCTGTAAAGGTACTGACTTCAAGTTTGCCTACTTTTGTTAACTTTCAAATGAAGATACTTAACATCTTTTACAGTACAATTTCTCTGACAACTTCGCTTTTAATTGATGTGAACATCAAAATTATTTTACTCAAGAGAATGTTGTGCAAGCGTATGAACAAAATACTACCAACAACGCCTTTTCGGTTGCCATTTGTTCAAGAGTGTCGTCACTCAAATTAAAAACATTTGTTAGTTTAACTATTTAAAATAGGCAGTTTAAATAAATGTTATCATTAACAGTGAAAGAAGTTTGTTCCTAACCTGTGCTACAGTTTCACAGGTAACTGTTACTTCCATTCTTTGCTGAGTTAGACAATTTAGTTCTCCAATAATCGCACCACTGCTCCTGTAATCAGTGAAGGAGGGTCTGGTTTTGTCTGATGCCAATTCATCATCATCATCATCTATATCGAGGCCTTTACTGCTGGTTCCAAGTGATGGTTTGACACCATGTAGCTATCAAACATCAGGAAGACAATCATACATATAATTTTTTGACAGTAAGAACATTCTAAACCGAGAACAAGCAAAACTTCTGAAAATCCATGAGATGACTGAATGCTCTGTTAAAACTAATTTGGCAAAAGGTGCAAAGCCCAATGTTTCATGACACAGCAACATGCTACATCAGTTACCTAAAATATCAATTCAGACACCTAATAGAAGCAAAACGCTCATCTTCCTGGAACAGCACAATTTTCCAAATCATGCATGTAGCTTCAGTAGCACTCGCTCCTGCTTTAAAGAGTACTGAAAGGTGGTCAGATAAATCGATGTCAGTATGTTAAATAAAATTAGAGTAAAATTAATTATAGGTGATCACAATAGAAAATGAAATACTCCTATCTTAGATCTACTGGCAATGTTTACCACATGAAACAATCTAATTTCTCACTATAATGAAAAATATTCATTTTTTAAAAAGCTGGATCAAACTGGATTTCAAACATTTCTTTTTGATATTGACTTAATTCTTAAAAACAGTCTCTTGGTAGTACAGAACTTGAAATACTGCTGAAAGGGAGATATGTTGCCAAGACTTGTCATCAGGGTAATTGCAAGAATACCAAATTTCAAACACACAACAATTTACCCTACAGAATTAATTCTCAGGCTATGCATGTTGCTAGTGAGGCTGAAATAAAGCCCGTCCCTGGATGTTGTAAGATGCTCATAATAGAATTTTTTTTGAAATGGTGCTTGCAGAAATTGATGTGCTACAGTATCTCAGGTAACTGTTACTTCTATCCTTTGCTGAGTTATGCAGTTTAGGTTTCCACTGCTCAAGTAATCAATGAAGGGGGGCCTGAGTGCCTTGCTGGGCCACTTCTAATGTGAGTTAAGCGTCAACCAATTGGAGTGAGATTGGACTCACATACAGTCCAAACAGCTTTCCTTTTCTAAAGGGCATGAGTAACAAACCAATAACAATTGAGAAACATGCCGTGAGGGACAGTGTCTTATAGCTTGTGGGAAATCCAGAATTATATTCAGTGCTTCTAATCAATAGTTTTTCATTGCAACCACATCATTACCATTTTATTAAGGATATACCATCCAAAAAGTGGCAGTAAGTGTGGTAAGAAAAAATTCAATAATTTACAGGACCAATCCAAGGATGCAATTTGAAACCGTTGGAATTAGGAAGGATAGATGGGGTTTAAAATGCATTCAAGATGGACAAAGGCAGCTTCCTGTGATGCGCTGTGAAGGGCTATAAGAAGCTGAAGGGACATTCCTCAACAATAAGAGAAGGAAACTTGCAGCAGAAAGATTGCCCACGAGGACAACAAGCTGGAGCCCAGTGCCATGATCCTGGATGCAGCACACTAAGTGTTTTAATGATTAAGCAAGTCAGGCAAGATGGGAACAGTGACAGAATTACCTACATGTCGCAATGTGTATCACACAAACCCCTCACTCTGCCTTTTCAAGTCTATGTCTTCACATCACTTCTCCTGCTCATTTAACTTGCAGATGCACTCATCCTTCTCTCTCTATCAAGTTCTTCATATCCCCATGTATCTATCCACCAATGCCCTATCACTGCTTTTCACAATCATGCTTATGCAATTTCATTTCTCTCACAGATACTCACCATTACCATATGAACATCAACCATTGGTTCAACAGGTGTCATTAACTTTCAGTCATCAGGTTTTATCTTTCCCTCATCCAGGGAAAATACCACAGAACACCACAGAGTGAGAGATAACTGGAGATCCCATTCCAGCCATTTCATAACTAACAACTGCAAAGGATGAGGTCAGCGTGTTTTCAGAATTGCTGAATGTCAGAGAAAGGAAGATGAGAAGCACCAAGATATTTGGTGACACAATCCAATTATTGCCACCTACATTTCTTATGGTACTAAGTCACATTGGGTAGAATCTTACAGATGTCTGAGCAAGATGGGCTATGGTGAGATGTGTGGCAGAATTGGGCATCAAGCATGATCAGGACTATCTTGATGTTGGGAGAAGCTCATATTGTCGTCATGCTTTTCCTAAATGACATGGTGAGATCTGGACAGGCAGTGGTGAGTTGCGAACTGATGGTAATGATTGATTTTTACAGCCCAACTCACCTCATTAATATATAATCTCCCATCTTAGCAAATCTGTCAAACAAGGTCAATATCTAGGCATGCTCAATGAGTACTACCATTGGTATTTGACATGTGCCAGCCTCATAGTACATCTCTGATCCACTTACAGGGTGCTTCCGCACTTCAATACTGCACCTTAAGCTGCATTAGCAATTGTCATTATAATGCTGTAGCAAGGATACATTGCATTTAGGGACACATAACCAGCTCATGGACCAGTCCAGGCTGCATCTCTGGGCTCTTCACTTGGTCTCATAGAGCCTACTCAAACTGAGCCTATTTGCATGCTCACAGCAACTTTGCCTTGCCTTGCTTTGCCATGCAGTAGTGCAGTCACATAACTAGGCACCTTGCCACGCTGCATAGCAGTCCTCAGACAAAGGGGTGGACATCTTGCTGAAAGGAAGTGTACTGAATCAAGTTCACACCTAGTCCATGAACCAGCAGCTTAGACAGCAAACATATTGAAGGTGCAGTAAGCAAGCACCCATGTTTCAAAATCCTAGGCAGGTAGACTTCACCACAGCCAGGGATACGAGCACAACAGGTCAGCAATGTAGTGATTGAGTTCCCTGATTGGGGCTGTTAACCTGGTTCAATCAGGGAGTCCTGGCTGACAGATATGAAGAGAAGTGTCAGGGATTCTGTTCAGTCTAGGAGCCAGCTCGGGGCTGGCTGGGTCAGTGTATTGTACTATGCACATGCAAATAACAGGTGACATGGTGACAGGGTGTGGTCTTCGTGGACTTATTTCAGTGGCGCCGAGAGAAAAACATGCCGCTGAAAAGATTCACTTACAACAATCATCTTTGAATTGGGGTAAGTATTTCTGGCATCATGGTGCTATTTGGGAGGCTTGACTTGTTCGATCCTGCCATCAGAGACTGGCACAGTATGTGGAAGGCATACGTTTTTTTTACAGGCAAATGACATTGGGGCAGATGAAAAGCAATGAGTAATTCTCCTGTGGACCCACAGCTTTTTCAGTTGCCAGAAGCCTAACTTTCCCTGAGGCACCAGATACTAAACCTTTTCAAGAGTTGACAGATTTAGCTAAGGAATAATGACAACCCCAAGCCTCCTCTAATTCTGAGACACTATCGTTTTTACTCAGCAGTTCGAGAACCAGGAACCTGTATCAGGACTTTTGAAAAGACAAATGACAGAGACATATGATTTGAACAGCACAGACATATGATTTTGGTCTGACCCTAAGCGAGATGCTAACAGAATGTTTGGTATGTGGGATTAATATTGTGATCATGCAAAAGTGCCAACTAGCTGAAGCCCAAATGGACTTCAAACAGGCACTACAACTAGCTTAGGTGGCAAATGGAGCACATGAGTTACAGGGTATGCCGATGGAAATGGACACCCTCGCCACCTGACTGAGCTTGGGGGACACCACTCAAGACACATCCTGAACAGAGGGACTCTAGGTCAGCCCACAACAAAACCCCAAAACAAAGCCAAGCTTCAGCAAAATCGTTAAGATTTTCATGAGGATATGGGCTGGCAGGTCATTGTAGTTGCTGCTGGTATGCAGACTCGATACAGCAAAAGAATCCCACTAAGCCTAAATTGAGTAGGAGAACTCATAGGCCGCTATCTAGGATAGTGTACACCCTGGAAAGTCCACCTGCAATTGGGGTTTAGAACAGTTAAATTGCTTAGTAACACCCAAATCAGAACCAATCAAAATAAATGTCTGGTTAAATGGTCACCCAGTTCTAATGGAGGTTGATACCAGCGCAGCTGTATCAGTGATTGTAGAAACAATCTTTACCAAAATTTGCTCTGGACTCCAACTCTTAAGTTTGCATAAGGCCTCAGCCAGGCTGAGAACCTAAAATGGGGAACCCCTACAGATTAAGGATAAAACTTCGGTTCCAGTCTCTTAGGAGAAACAGCGGGTTCAGTTACCATTGATTGCAGTAAAAGGCTCAGGCCCAAGCCTGGGGTGAAACGGGTTAAGAAAAATTCATATAACAAGGTGTGGAGCTAGATGAACACAGCAGGCCAGGCAGCATCAGAGGAGCAGGAAAGCTGACGTTTCGGGTCTGGAGATTTCTGAAGAAGGGTCCTGACCCGAAACGTCAGCTTTCCTGTTCCTCTGATGCTGCCTGGCCTGCTGTGTTCATCCAGCTCCACACCTTGTTATCTCAGACTCCAGCATCGGCAGTTCCTACTATCTCT